AAAAAAAAAAAAAAGAACTTTAAATTTTTGGTTTCTTTAAAAAATTATCATTTTAGGATGGGTGGGGTGGCTCATGCCTGTAATCCCAGGACTTTGGGAAGCTGAGGCGGGCAGATCACCTGAGGTCAGGAGTTCAAGACCAGCCTGGTCAAAATGGTGAAACCCCATCTCTACTAAAAATACCAAAAATTAGCCAGGCGTAGTGGCCTGTAATCGCAGCTACTGAGGAGGCTGAGACAGGAGAATTGCTTGAACCGGGGAGGCAAAGGTTGCAGTGAGCTGAGATTGTGCCACTGCACTCCAGTCTGGGCAATAAGACTGAAACTGCACCTCAAAAAAAAAAAATTCTCATTTTAAATTAGGTGGGCACAATGGTGAACACCTGTAATCCTAGCTACTCAGGAGGCTGAGTCAGGAAAATCACTTGAGCCTAGGAGGTGGGCGTTGCAGTGAGCTGAGATTGTGATACTGCATTCCAGCCTGGGCAACAAGACTGAAAGTCCGTCCCAACAAAACAAAACAAAACAACTCTCATTTTAAATTAGCTAAGCATGGTGGTAAACACCTGTAATCACAGCTACTCAGGAGGCTGAGTCAGGAGAATCACTTGAACCCAGGAGGCAAAGGTTGCAGTGAGTTGAAGTCGTGCCACTGCACTCCAGCCTATGTGACAGAGTGAGACTACGCCTCAATAAAAAAATATCTCATTTGAAACTCTCTGTAAACTTTTGTGCTGCAAGAGTTAACAGCAGAATCACAAGAATGTTATCTATGACAATAATACCTGTTGACAGATTCTGGGTCCTTCGGCTTTTCCAGCCCCCACGGCCTCCCTCTAGTAACCCATAAACTATTACAAGTTTACCCGGCAGGACTGTGCTTGTTCTCGCAAAGCCTGGATGCTGCTGCCATAGGCACTGAGATCTGACATCAAAGCTTCGTGTTTCTTCAGTAGAGCCTGAAACCAAAACCACACATGGAGCACTGCACAGGGGCTGAAGCCTCCCATCCTCCACTGTCTTGCCAACCTGCCATCCTGCCTCAATAGCCTTTCTCAGTTACACAATGACGTAATCACCTATTGCCCTTTCTACAGTGTTTTACTGTTTCCTACTAATACCACTTTGAAAGTTTTTCAGGTTTCCCCTTTTTTGGGACAATCATATATATGATGATTATAGCCTGCTCATCCTGGTCTGGGCACAGTGGCTCATGCTTGTAATCCCAGCACTTTGGGAGGCTAAGGCAGGCAGATCACTTGAGCCCAGGAGTTCAAGACCAGCCCGGACAACATAGTGAAACCTCATCTCTACAAAAAATACAAAACTAAGCCAGATGTGATGGTGCACGCCTGTAATCTGAGCTACTCAGGGGACTGAGGCAGAAAGATTGCTAAGCACAGGAGGTCAAGTCTGTAGGGAGTTGTGATTGTGTCACTGCACTCTAGACACAGCGACAGAGCGAGACCCTGTTTCAAAAAAAAAAAAAAAAAAAAGGCGGGGGGGAAATTGGCTGGGCACGGTGGCTCATACCTGTAATCCCAGCACTTTGGGAGGCAGAGGTGGGCAGATCACCTGAGGTGAGGAGTTCAAGACCAGCCTGGCCAATGTGGTGAAACCCCGTCTTTACTAAATATACAAAAAAATTACCCAGGTATGGTGGCAGGCACCTGTAATTCCAGCTACTTGGGAGGCTGAGACAGGAGAATCGCTTGAGCCCTGGAGGTGGAGGTTGAAGTGAGCCAAGATTGTGCCACTGCACTCCAACTGGGCAATAGAGTGGAACTCCATCACAAAAAAAAAAAAAAAAAAATTCAACTGATTCTAGTTTTTGTGAAGACTGGTAAGAAAAAAGCTAGGTACAGGGACTATACCTAGACCTTTATGAATGAAATTTGAGAATTTTAGTCAAAAAACAGATAACCAGTAAAAAACCAAGTGCATGCTGGTATGCATGTTTATATGCACACACTGGTATGTACACGTGTATGCTGGTATGTTTCTAGGTATGTATATATATATGTGCATGTTGGTATGTTAGCATGTAAGCACACATATGGTTTCACATAGATGAAACAAGAGTGGCATATGTTAACAGTTGAAGGTGTGTAACAAGTCATCTTCTCTCTCCTTTAGGTATGACTAAATTTTCATAATAAAAAGTAAAAAATGGGCCAGGAGTGGTGGTTCATTCCTATTATCCCAGCATTTTGGGAGGCCTTAGGAGGAGGATCATTTGAGGCCAGGAGTTTGAAACCAGCTGAGACAACATAGCAAGACCTTGTCTCTACTAAAAATAAAACAAAAATTAAAAAGCATAGCTAGGACTAGTGGTACCTGCCTACAGTCCCAGCTACTTGGGAGGCTAAGTCAGGAGGATCACTTGAGCCCAGGAGACTGAGGCTACAGTGAGCTACAACTGTACCACTGCATTCCAGCCTGGGCAAGAGTGAGACCCTATCTCATGGATTCCAAAATATTTTAAAAAACAATCATTGTCGGTGGCTCACGCCTGTAATCCCAGCACTTTGGGAGGCCGAGGCGGGTGGATCACGAGGTCAAGAGATCAAGACCATCCTGGTCAACATGGTGAAACCCCGCCTCTACTAAAACTATAAAAAATTAGCTGGGCATGGTGGTGCGTGCCTGTAATCCCAGCTACTCAGGAGGCTGAGGCAGGAGAATTGCCTGAACCCAGGAGGCGGAGGTTGCGGTGA